TATTAATTATGTGCTCTACAAGAGTTTGGAAAACTCTTTTGAAAAATGTTTGACAGTTGTTTTTATAAGAAAAGCATATCCACATTGGCCTACATAGACCTTTCAGGTCTGACTATACTGAGCAATGCAGGACCAGCCTAAATATTCCATTAGCAAACTGACCCAGCACACCAAGCTTGGGTCTAAGATGCAGTTGTACATAAGTGTGGTAGTAGGCTCACATTAATTAGTCTCTCAACCAAAGTAATCCAGGAACAAATCCACAGGGGTTTTGTACTTTGAGAGTGCTTTTTTCTTATCCCAAATCACTATTTTTTAAGGAGGTGTACGGTCACTGGCTCAATAAGGACTGCATGGATGAATGCAGATAGCAGCAAAAGCTGAATGTCTGGGGATGAAAACAAGAACAGGTGAAACTGAACTTCCTCCTGAGTCTGCTAAAATAAAGCCTCCTCGGAGTTCTCCCAATAACTTTGAGGGACAAATACAACAATGAAGTATTCTCTTATTCTTAAATGTCATATGACAATTATGTATTCTGTCATTCTTAATTGTCATAAGACAATTAAGTATTCTGTCCTTCATTACAATTTGTTTTAACAGTGAGATTATTTAGAGATAGAATAGTCTGATAATCTCAAGCTAAAAAATTAGTTTTCGTTCAGATAATTCACTGCATTTCTAAAACCATTACCATAATGAATTTTCAAATCTTTAAAAGTCATAACCGCAGGGAAGCTGTGTGCAGCACTAGCATGTGATCAGTGTGGATAAGGACAAAGCCTGTTCCAAAATGGAGCAGTGAGGCAGCACGGCTCTAAGCTACACCCGTTCTCACTGAAACAGGAACAAATACAACAATGAAGTATTCTCTTATTCTTAAATGTCATATGACAATTATGTATTCTGTCATTCTTAATTGTCATAAGACAATTAAGTATTCTGTCCTTCATTACAATTTGTTTTAACAGTGCTTTAGAGATAGAATAGTCTGATAATATCAAACTAAAAAATTAGTTTTCATTCAGATAATTCACAAGATTCATTGCATCTCTAAAACCATTACCATAATGAATTTTCAAATCTTTAAAAGTCATAACCGCAGGGAAGCTGTGTGCAGCGCTAGCATGTGATCAGTGTGGATAAGGACAAAGCCTGTTCCCAAATGGAGCAGTGAGGCAGCACGGCTTTAAGCTACACCCGTTCTCACTGAAACAGCCCAAGAACATATCTTCCAGAAGCACAGAGAACAAATCCACCAAAGAAAAGCAGTCTCTTTGCAAGGTTCCAAGCTGCTCCCTCAAATTTGCAGGGCCTGACATCGTTTGAAAGACTCAGCCTAAATTTCAACAAAAATAGAGTGCTAAAGTGCAGTGAGGATTTGGGATTTGGGAGGATTTGGGAACTCCAGCAATTTATTAGATCAAGCAAACAATTCAAATGTTTAGCTGTGTGTTATTCTTAAGAACTAAAAAACAATAACAAACAGAAAGGCACATAACATCTTACTGCTTTGACTTTTAGCAAAATAGGATTGTTAAAGGTATAAATTTGACAATAATCAGCATCAGACATCTCAGTTTATAGCTTTAAGATCTGCACAAACATCCAGTATTTAATCACAAATCACTACAGATTAGTTTGCAGCAGATTAGATAGAAAGTCTTTGTGGGACGTGTGGGACGCATGTCCCACTATAGCTAGGAGAATTTTGGAACAGATGAGAGAAAGCTGGGTTTGGTTTTCTGGCCTAAACTGTGACAATGCAGTATCACAATGTTCCATTTGTCTGGTAAAGACCTGCGGTGAGCACGATGGGAAACACAAATACAGGAAGCAACATCTGTAAAATCCAGTTTTAAAATCAGCACCATCAACTCACAGAATTCTCCATGCTCTCATGCTCAGTGAGTGACAATATGCTGAACTTTCAATGAAAACAGGAAATAAAACATCTTTTATTTGCTTTATCTTCAGTGTAACTTTTTTTTTGTCTGTATTTTGCTTTTACTTTTCCAAAATAAATCCATGAATCTTTTGCACAGATAAGATGTTACAACTTCATCCAGGTCTCCTGCCCACCTATCTCCCATACAAAGATCTAAAGCTGTATTACAATCCACTGTTACAGAAAGCATTTTAAAGTACCTACAGTTCGCAGATTTACACCCTAATGGACAAGGCATGTTAGGATTATATCATGGTGACAAAAACAGGTTTCTAATACAGAATTCAAATAAGCCATTCCAGGCTTATTTATTCCAGTATAGCACGCTGTACATCCCACTGAAACCACAGAGCATCCTCATCTGATGTCAGGATCTGTCAGGCTGCATTCACAGGGAGTTCTAGAACCGAGTGCAACTTTAGGATGCCTCAAAAACAGCATAATAGCTCAAAGAAATCAGGAATTGTATTTTGCTTTCTAAATTTGGCAGGGAAAAGAATATTATATTTTCTTCGTAGCACACTGTAAAATACTTAAAATGATAAAAATCAATAAGATTGAGAAATCTTTCTTTCCACTGAATAGATGCATCACAAAATGTCCAGTTTTGTATTCTTTTAAGCTTCAGTTTTTGCTCTCAGGATGCAATTGTGTGTGTTCTTATGAAAACGAAGGGTTGTGTTTTTAAAGTCCAGTGCATGATGTCCAGAGAGAGAAGGGAGAGGTTGAGTACAGTGACTGTGCAGCATTTCATACTATTTATGAAGATATTTATCAAAATTATTTTGTATACAAATACACTGCTCCTTTTAAAATGCCACATTACTGACAATATTAAAAGCTCCTTTCTCTTGGAAAAACATCCTCCCTAAGGTCACACAGCTCTAGACATAACATAATGACAAATACATTTTTGCATGGTGATGTGTAAGTCATCATTACGCACTCTCTCTCACATTTGCACTTTCCCTGTTCCCATCATATTCCTGAGTAATAACAGAGGATAGAAAGTTACAGGCATTGAAATGTTACGTAGCGGAGAAGCCATCCTAAGAAATCCATATGGACTCCTGCTCAACAAGACACATAAGACCTGCTTATCTCTCCACATTCATTTTTCAGTGTGACTTTTTTGAGAACACCTGGTGAATATTATAATTTCTTCTAGCAACATGCAGAACAACCTTGTTTTGTGGTTTAAGCTCTAAAAAGTTTTGATTCTGCTCCTCCAAAATCTGCTCTATTTTGCAAAAAATGCTTATATTCCTTGCCAGTGTTTTGCACACTAGTAAGAAGTTCAATTATATGGTTGTAAATTGAGTCCCTTTCATTAAGAGGCTCTTTACTGTTCTGCTCTCACACCATAATTAATGTGAAAATCATTCAAGCTTCTTGCATATGCAGCTCCATAAAACTTCACCCTGCCTTTTTAAATGGCATTCTTCGTTGTCCTGTTTCCAAAATATTGAGAACTATTAAAAGTATCACCATACTCTGGAAAAAAAAGCGAATTGTTCACTTCTGAAACAATATGAAAACATTTTAATGAGGAAACCTCTACCTCCCCCAAACAAATTACAGCCTATGCTAGAGGAATCATATCTGCTCATAAAATGAATGGAGGAATGAATATTATGAAACGGAATGTAAGTTTAAGGACTGACCACATTTATTTCCCATTAAAAATAGTACATCAAGTTTTAAAATACAAATATCAAAATTATTGCACAAGTCAGTAAACTAGCTTTGGCAGCATTTTTAACAATAGGATCTTCAGTGTGTAATAATAGGATCTGGCAGATTAAACTCCTGTGTACCTGTTCTGGTTACATCATAAATCACCCTACAATAGCAAGATAATTTTTCCTGTGCACGTATAGAACATCATATAATAATGTAACTGTAATACAATATATGCTTTATGAAAGCTGGAAATAAAGAAGAGGGAATGTGTCTTAACACTTCCCTTATACCTTTGACTCAAACAAATTTAAGCAACTATCCCATTTGCAGTCATTCAACATAGACAGTTCCAAGTACACATACAGACACACATATATTAACAGGCTTTGTTATAAATAGCTATAGCTTTTATAGGTAGCTTCATATACACAATCTTCTGTATGTCTTTGAAAAAAAAAGACAGTTCTAGTTTAGTTTATCAAAAAGAAGAGTTCATCCACAGGCAAATATCCTCAATGAGAATGTGACTCTGTGAAAGTCCCAAAGAGTCTGTCCCAATGGGTGAAGTATGGAGCATAGTTTGATTTGAATTTCAGATGATGGAGATCATGATGTGGAGCTCCTCCATACAAACCAAAAGGCACAAGCCGGTGCGTGGACCAAGGGAGGTCATATCCTGAATGGTCTTCCACTGACAACCAAATGTTTACAAGGAAGAAAATCATTTCTGTCAAAGGATGGCATCTGAGGAGCACTGGATTGATGGCAGCAAAAAATCCCAGAGAAAGCAATTCCCATACACTGGAGTACTGCGTAGTAAGAGCAAATGTTGATACATGCTTGTGATGCACCTTATGAAAGGTCTTGTAGAGCCAAGGCACCCTGTGATGAAGCAAATGCCAAAGGAAGTATTCAAAATCAAACAGAAGCAGGCAGACTGTGACTTCCAGCAAGACCTCGGGCAGCTCTGGAGCCATCACAGGTAGCTTCACTGGTCTCCAGTACCAGTGGAAAAATGTCACTGGGAAAATCAAAACAGCGTGATGATAGGCACTTTGAATAATGCAAGGCACCATCATTCCCAGAGTTGGATAGCTCTGTGGCTGGATTTTGTATTTTCTTAAGCACGGTAGCCTAGTGCTTAAAAAGTCCAGTGTAATATAAGGAAGACAGAAAGCCATGTATGCTGTAAAAGAAAACAGCACTGGAAAGTACGGTGACTTGATCAGCAGCTCCTTTGCTGTGACGAAGTCCCAGAGGACCTGAAGGCACAAGCCGTGGTGCTGCCCGTCCACGCCGCGGCCGAGCAGCGCTGCGATGGGCGCGCTGCGGTTCATGCTGCCGGCAGTCCCAGCCGCCGCCGTCCGCCAGCCTTTATCCAGCCTGCTCGGTGGAAAACTCCGCCCCGTCACAGCCTCACGACTGAGCTTCCAAGACGTAGCTGTAAGGAGGAAGTGCCCTTTCCTGTCGTACAAAAGCAGTGTAATGTGTTACAATCTCACAAAAGAATTATCTCACTGGTGGAGTGCAAGAATTACAGATGCCTTTGGCAATCGTTTAAACTCCGAGAAGACCTGGGCGATAGGAAATGTCAGAACTCGAGCACTGGAATTCAGAGAAAGAGGGTAGGAACATTCTTCCATTCCACTTACTGAATACACTTCAAAAACTGCCACCTTTCGCTAATTTTAAATTGTATCATCTTCCGTTATCCTTTTCCCTTTATATATAAAGAAACACAACCTAACATAGGTTTTCCCTGTGACTCCTACGGAAGTGCATGTAACTCAACACCAGATCTGACCTCTGGAGGTAGTTTGGTAGGTAATGCATGTGTGCAAACACACATCTTCCTAATAGTCCCTCAGATATACTGCAGGTTACATCGATACCTCAGTGACATCTACACTATGCTTTCAGTTTGAATGCGGTGGCTACAATTTATTTTCATTGACTTCTGTACTAGTCTTCTCCTTTATTTTCCTGAATTTGCTTGACATGGCAAAATCCACCTGACTGTGGCCAGACAGAAAATTGAGCCAACAATTACAGAAAAATAAAATACCTTCCAGTTGCTAAGATAACATCAAATCTGATTTCCTTTCCAAACAGATACTTAATGACAAGTATCTGCATTATTATACTATTCAGTCCACAATTTAGCTGCTCTTTGAGTGATAGGATAAGGGAACGATCCTTTATCCCAATCATGTAATGAGAGGGTCCACTGGTTTGAACTGCATCCTTCAAATGATCTTCCTTGGACCATTTGCAAGCACAGAGCAGGCAGTGGCTAGTAGGCTCAAGACCCAGCATTTAAAATTTGGGAAAAGTATTTTAGGGGTAAAAGATGGAAGTTTTAGTTTAACCGCTGGCTTTAGTTTAAAGCCTCTTTGTGCTTTTTGAAGACGACAGACAAAGCTTAGAATATTTGGGGAAACAGTGTTTGCCATCAACTTCCTATGAACTCACCTCTTTTGTAGGTACCGTATTTATTCTAACATTGGAAATGAGCTCAGCTTCCTGGATGACTTTATTACCTTTTTCATAAGATTTTAGTTCTTTGCTATTCAGAAAAGAATTCTGATGGAGGAAATGGAAGTCAGGATTTCATTGCTGCTTAGTAATTAAGAATGATGAACTCGCAGTGACCTTTTCTGATCTATGCACACTTCTAATTCTGAAGTTTGTTTTCAGTCTCAATTATTTTCTTCTCAAGAGATTCTGCTCTTAATAGAGATTTCATTCCCTCTCTAGGCTCTGAAGGGTTCACTGAAGCAGTAACATTAACATGATCAGTGGTATTAATCAGGCAACCAGAAGTTATTTTTTAGAGACAACTATGGCATGGTCTTCAGAGACTCTACCTGTTGCATCTGTTTTAGAAACAGATGCACATTTCTGTTGATGTGAGACTGTTCTGCTGAACTCAGTTAATTTAGGCTGTTGAATTTAGAGAAACTGAAGCCCAGGAAGATGCACTAATTCAACAGATGAGGATGTACAATTATGAGTTTCACTCAATCTTCTGACAGTATTTTATTCTGTCTTCAATTTCATAAAAAGCATGAGAGATGCATTTGTATTGCAATCACCGTCTGGGACAGAAATTTTTTCTTTTTAGAGATGCTTTCTGTTGATTTATGTAGATATAATCAGAAATTGCCACATATGATATGTGATCCTTCATTTTATTAGAATTATGCAAGCATTGAATTTCTTCTATAATGTATTTCAAGTCTGCCTGCAGAAAGATAGACAGAAATCGCTCAACCGCCCTAAAGACACTCCTCCAACTAACCCCTACCAGCTTTGTGAATTCTCAAGAAGTTTTAGGGCAAATGCTGCCTATAGACTAAAATGTAAAGAATGGGCAATTTGCCTGCAGATTAGGTCATAGAAAAATATTCTCAAGTCCCTTCAGGAAAAATCAGAGAATTTTGCATTCTTATTGCTACCATACCCTGACCCAGGAGGTGCATGCAAGTCAAGCCCTGTGAACAGAGCCCAGCTCCGGGCCTGCCCGCAGCACCGGAGCGGACTCTGCGCGCAGGCAGGAGCCACGCTCACGCTGCGCCCCATCTGCTGGCGCTCGGGAGGATGAACTGCTGGCAAGTTTTACCTCTGCTGGGGCTTGACTCGGCTCAGCAGCAAGTATGCTCAAAAAACTAAGTTCTCATGCGACAGAGATGGCAAATGCTCTTTAGGTCTCTATTCTCCAGTAACTATTCAAGCTATTTGGCTTTGTCACTAAAAAGCACCTATCTCACATATTTACATTGCTTTTCTAACTTGGGTTCCTTTGTCACTGCAAGATACAATGCAAAAAAAGACAAAATACATGCAAAACCTCTCTGCACTTAATTCAGCAACAGAACCCCAGCTTTTTTCACTTAACTTACAGTACTGCCAAACTTTCCCGTGTGTTACAAAATTCTAAGTAGGTCTCTCAAAATCAAGCCTCTTGCTGCAGTGTTTAGGTTGAAGGGCACATAGTTTGGAATGAGGCCCCACAAAGGGTCTTAAATAGATTCCACATGAGCACAAGACGCAAGCACCGACCCCAAGCTGAGCTGCTAGGTATAAGCTATAAGGAGAACAGCAAAACATTAACAAGTGGGTAGGAAAAGGAGGAAGAAGTAGCATGAGGGAAAATCAGGATCAATACATTGAAAATAGTAGCACAACAGCACAGACAAAATCTCTCTCTCCCCTCTCAGTGGTAAGATTACAACACATCCCTCTCAGAACAGGGATAGATGAGAAGAAAGATTTCGTGACAGTGCTGAAACTTCTACCAGAAAAAGGGTGCTGGGAAGCAGGGTTGATCACTTAGGGAGGACAGTAAGAGCAAAGCAGGATAGCCACTAGAGCAGACGAAGAGAGAGGTAGTCCCTTGCCTCATTTCAAAAGAGTTAACCCTGAAAAAAAAAAAAAAAAGCAATCGGAGGTCCTAAAACACTGACTCACCTTATTCCAAGAGACTGAGTGCAAAGACACTTTTCGGCAACAGTTCATGGCAGCTCCGTGAGGGTGAGGGTTTGAAAAAAATCCTTTATGCTTCTCGCGTCCCACAGTGGCCGTCCTGCAGGCAACAGCACCACCCAGCGCAGAAACGCGCCTCAGCGGCCCTGCCAGGCCGAGCGCGCTGCAAGGCCGCCTTCCCGAGGCCGCAGTTTAACGACCTCTTTCAACGTAGATGTTCGCGTTCTGTTAATGTTTCTGTTACTAGGAAAACATCTTCTTTTCAAAAATTTAATCCATATTATTAAAAATTCATAGGATGGCAAGGTACATGCTACTTTGCAATGGGACAACTTTCAAAAGTTGGCTGGCACAGGTCAATGTCACAGGCCTCCTAGATTAACAGATTGGGAGGGA